CAACTTCAAGCTTGTGAGTTTGATTCTTATAACCATTTGTTATTAATTGAGGTTTCAATACATGCAATTGGACAAAACATGGGAGTTTCAAATGGGAATGGAATGCATGGAAGTCATGGAAGAGAAAGGTGGAAAAAAATTAATAAGATTGTGCAAATTTGGCTTTAAAAAACAACCATAAGGGGAAAACAAAGATAGTGCAGGATTAAGATGTTATGGAGCGATCTGCTAAAGTTATTGATAATTCAAGAGTGGTCTTAGTGATTTATGAGCTAGATGATTTGGGTATTAATAACTAATTAATAGAGTTAGAAGAGACAAAGGAGTAGTATGTAGACTATTATAAAGGATTGTTGGGTATAAAAGCTAATGTGATCAAGCTAGTTAACCCTCAAGTAATACATCAAGGTCTTTTAGTTAATAAGTGAGAATATGAATGAAAATTTATGCAAATCTATGACAGAAGAAGAATGGAGGACTTCGTTTTTCTCCATTCCAATGGACAAGCCCCATAAATGACTTTTCATTTGGTTTTTTCTAGTCATTATGGCACATTGTTAATAAGAATGTTGTAAAACTGACAGAGTATTTTTTTAGAATTGGAAAGCTATTATAAAAAGGGTTAATATCGCAAATAATAGCTTCATTCTAAAGAAGAATTGTCTTGGGGAATGGGGGATTACAAGCCTATATCTTGTTGTAACATTAATTATAAATTAAGAGGCATTGTGGGTTTTGATTAGGTATAATCAAAATACATTTATGAAGGGATGACATATCATGGCATACATGTTGGTAGTGCAAGATCTGGTGAGAAGCTACCATAGAAAAGTTAGGCCAACCAAATGTTTAATGATGATTGATCTTCTAGAAGCTTGACTTTGTTTTGTGAGCATTTTTGCTTGAGTTGTTGCACATTTATGGTTTTCCTACACAATTTCTAATGGAATAAGGTTTTGCCTAGAAACTTTTATGTTCTTTGTGGTAGTAGTGAATAGCAAAGCAAATGGTTATTTTGCTAGACAACATGGGTGGATACAAGGAGACTCATTATCTCCATATCTCTTTGTTTTGGTAATGGAGTATTTCTCTAGAATTATGAAAGGTATAGAGGAAAGTAAGAACTTTAACTACCATTATATATGCAAAGCACTAAAGTTGATGTATGCAAGCTTTGTTGATGTTTTGATTCTCTTTCATAGAATTAATAAGTCTCATTGAGAAGGTTTCTTTTTTAAGAGTCTCTTACATAAGATGGAAACACATGATACAACACACAGGATTGATCTCTTATAGTAAGGTAAAGGATGTGTGGAAGTGGAATATAGCGTGGTTTGCTGTCATTTATTCCATCTAGCTTTGAAGAAATCAACTAATTTTTTAAAAGGGATCTAATCCTTCAAATAAGGGATTGAATTTAGTAAATTGAGATCCCTAATTGAATTAGAGCTAGTTTGAATGCTCAAATGACCAAGGAAATTCAGTTTATTTTTTTTTTTAGAAGCATATAAAGCAACAAAGGCTAGACTGTGATAGTTGTTGTTTAGGATCACGACCTTGGGAGGGCTATTTTCTTTTATTGGTAGTATTGGGGTTTTAAGTTATAATGAATAAGAGTATCTCTTGTACTTTATTTCACTTCTATAAATATATTTTCTTAGCTTATCAAAGAAAAACAAAAAAGATGTGTAGATTATGTTTTTGTTAAGTTTGTTGTTAGCCTATGTGAACAAAGTTCATACTAGGTGTGCACATAAGGTGGCATAAGTCCGTGTGACAAACCTCGAGATTCGTATTGAGCCTAGATGCGGGGGGCGGCATGTTAAGTGGGATAACAAAGAAACATGTGTGACTTCAATTCAAGCAAGACTACTCCATCATTGTTAATTGATTTTAAGTTAGGTGTAAATTTTGTAATGAAATCCACATACTCAATTTTCACTATTACTAGATTGACATGGTTTCAACAACAATTGTTGTTAGAATTGAAGGGATGATAATACATATGTACCCTATATATATCATACTACAAGGATAAATAATTTTTTTAATTGTGTGTCAACAACTTTAACAATCTAATGATAATCTCTCTTTTAAATGAAGAGAATCTAAGTATGAATTATAAGCATGTAGATAGAGTGAACAAAAAAAAAAAAAAATAGTTAACTCTCATTATAAAACTTAAAATAATAATAATAAAAGTCTTTTAGTTTGGTATACGTCTATATAAATTCTAGCAACTTTTACAATAGAGCACAATGTGAGAATATTTTCCACAAAAAACAGTAGAAACTGAAGAAGCCCACACACTATTCCTACAAACAATAAATATTTTGCATATTTTAGTAAGAGAATGCTGTAATAGAGATTGCCTCGATTGCACTATTTTTAATCATGAATAAAAAGGTGAAACCCAAATATTAAAGGGACTTGCTCCTTTGTCAATGATGATTAGAAGTAAGTTTTCTATTTTACTAATTATAAAGATGTATAATACTTTAAAAAATTAAAAAAAAATTATTTTATAATTTAAATTGTACTTGTAAAATAATAACTTTTAAAATTTATCTATTAAACACTCATGTAATTTTTTGTGATAGCATCATATCACAACACAGGAAATAATTAAAGTAATTAGAATAATGTTCTTTTCCTCGCCTCAACTACCAATTCATTGCACAGACATTGCCCATCAAAGATCGTGTAACCAGTCAAAGTTCTTACAAATACAACATAGTTTCCTTGAAAATGCTAATATACCTTAATTACTAAAAAAGATTAGTCCCACTTCCTAATCGAAAAGGATAAGATTGACGCACACACTTTCTCCACTTTTATCTCTTTTTCTTTGTCGTAGAATCAAGACAGAGATAAAAAGAAAAATATTCTTGTTTTAAAAAATTCATTCTTCAATTTTACTACCATTTTTTTTTCTTTTTTAGATAATGAAATCAACCCCAAATAAAAGGAATCAACTCTTGCTTTTCTTGTACGTACCATACACAAAAATACAAAAGAAAAGTAAAGGTTTCAGCTTTTTTATTCATATATGATTTATTTTACCTAAAATATTATAATAAATAATTAATTAATTAATTAAAAAATAGTATGTAATTCATTCTGCATGCTTTATAATTATTAATTAAAAACAAATCTCATGAGATAGTCTACTCTCCATCAAAATTATAAAATGTGCAATTTGTGAAAAGCTGCTATCTCATAAATAATACTCTTAACAATTTGCTTTGTTTCGTTATTTTATATGCTACCCATATTATGATCCCGGCCCAGCAAATATCTTGAAAGTAAATATTTTTGTGATTTTAGGTTTATATGGAGTAATTGATCTACTATTGTACATTCAGAGAAAGTTGTCAGCTAAGGTTGAAAATCATTTTTAACTTTTTATGCCTGTAATAACACCCAGAATTATCATCCTCTCTGGGGAATTATTAGCATCATCAAGATAATTTTCTGTTCGAATAACATTATTTTCAGTACAATTTACAATAGAAAACATATTTTCTTTTGTATGGGATGAGAAAATGGTTTTTTTTTTTTTTTTTCAATCTATACTACATTAAAAGTTCAAAATATAAGAGTATCAGAAAACTCAAGATGTTTAGGTTAAAAAAAAGTAAAAAGAAAAAGTAGAAAAAATATTTTTTTATTTAATTATCAAAAAAAAAATTGAAAAGGAGAGAGGAGAAGGGAGGGCCCTTTCCTTTATTTTCTTAATCCAAACATAAGTTAAATGAATTTTATTTTAGTATTTAAATATTTGCATTCCTAGTTGAAAGGCATATTCAATGTATATAATATGAGATAAGTTTTTACTGCTCACTAAAAAAAGTTAAAATATCAGTCTTGAACATGAAAAACTAAAATATCATTAATAAATAAATAGAAATTTATTTTTATATTAATTTTATATATTATATTTATATAAAATTTTAATAATTTATTTTTTATTTTAATAGTTAAAATTTATTCATATTTATTAAAAGTAATTATTTTTTACTTTAAAAATTATAATAAATCTTAACTATTAAAAATAAATAAATAAATTGTTAAAATTTTATATGAATATAATATATAAAATTTATGTGTGAATGAATCATTCCTTCATTAATAAATTAGAAATGAAAAAACATTTATTAGTGGCAACTCAGTTTTTTCACACCTCAAGCTAATGTTTTCACTTCAGGATGGACGGTAAAACACTTCAGTTGATATGCCCCTTTCATCCTAATAAGACTACTCGTTTGTTTTTCATTTTTTTTCTTTTTTTTTTTAACTAAAAAAGATAAATTAATAAGTTTTATATATTAGATTTATATAAAATCTCAATAATTCATCTTTTTCTTTTTAATAGTTGAGATTTGTCATAATTTTTAAATATAAAAATAATTATTTTTAATAAATATAAATAAATTTTAATTATTAAAAATAAAAAAAAATAATTAAAATTTTATATAAGTATAATATGTAAAAATTATGTATAAATATATCTCTACTCTTTATAATTTATCTTAAAATAATAGTCTCATTATTTTTTAAAATAAAAATAAAAATAAAAATTACGCTAATTGCTCAAATTAAAATTAAAAAATATAGCCTAGGTGGCAAGAACTTAAAAAAAAATTTCATTATACCTTTTTGGGTCACTCAATAATTAAGAGTTTAAAATTTTAAATTAAAAATTTTAAATTTAAATCTTTAAATTAATAAAAAAAATAATTTTAAAAAAAAATAATTTTCTTCATGTTTAAAAAAATAATAATTTTCTTTTATATAATTTAGTCGTTATTATATGTACTAAAAAAAAGTTTTCATTATACCCCATAAAAGTGTATTAAAAAAATAAAATGTAAAAAGTGGTATGCGTATTACGCACCAAGTTCAAAATAACAACTTCCATTATTAAATACTATTAACACCGTTTACCTTCACTGAAAATTATCATTTTTGTTATTAATTTTCGCCCATTTCTGATCTGCGATCGACGGGATCCCCAATTTGACGCCGACGATCTTGAGTGCCCTAAATTCCCTGATTCTCTGTACAAAAACCCTAATTAGCAGTGTCCATACTCAGTCAGTGTTAGAAAACAGTTGGGTTTTCTGGTTTCCTGTGCTTCTTAGTACACTCAGATTCATGACTTAGCTCGCCATCTTGATTTGCTCGAGCTCCCGCGGACACGTGGCAATCTGGGTCTCGCTTCACTTTCATTTCTGCTCAAATTTCAGTAAGTTTGTTTCTTTTTCTATTTTTTTTACTTAAATTCTAGTGTTAATTTTTTTTATTGAAGTTGAATTTGTGTTAAATTTTTGATCGTCTAAAATTCTGTTTTAGTGCTTCATTTGAGTGTGTGTTGGAGCTTTTTCGTATTTCGATCCACTTGCATTTGGATATTTAGCTGCGAAATTAGTTGAATTTTGGGTTTTGATTTGGAAATTTAGCTGAATTTTTTTAACTAGGGTATTTAATTTTTGGCTGATATGAAGAGTGAGAAAGTGATGGAAAATGAATGCAAATGAAGTCCAAAGATTGCATCTTTGCTCTCTGTAAGATAAAGAATAGCTCAATTTTGGTTTACTGATATTAATAATATTCTATTTTTCGATCATTTTGTCATTATAGTTGGTTTAATAGCAATTAAACAAAACTTAATATCTAAAATCCAAAGAATTGTTTTTAAAATCTATCATTATTGTAAATGATAATCCAAGTGTCTTATAGCTATATGGTATGGTTAGGTTAGGGTTCTATTTAGTGGAAGGTAGATAAAAAATGGTTATTTGATAATGAACTAAACAGTCTCGCTGAACTTTTGCAGATATAATAGTGAGGTTGAGTATGGGAATTGTGTTCCCTTCATGGTTATGCACTTTGGGATGATTGTAGATTTTGTTTTCATAGTCTGGGTTTAAGTGATCAGAATTCTAAATGGAAGCAAACAAAGAGGAAGCTCTTAAAATGAAGGAGATTGCTGAAAAGCGGTTTGCTGAGAGAGATTTTGCAGGTGCTAAAAATTATGCATTAAAGGCAAAAACCCTGTACCCTGGTCTGGAGGGTATATCTCAAATGGTAGCCACATTTGAGGTTTACATGGCTTCAGAGATCAGATATGGTGGTGAAATTGACTATTATTCAATTCTTGGCTTGAATCCTTCAGCAGATAGGGAAGCAGTCAAGAAACGGTATAAAAAGATGGCTGTGTTGCTTCATCCTGATAAGAACAAATGTGTGGGAGCTGATGGGGCATTCAAACTTGTATCTGAGGCATGGAGTCTGTTGTCTGATAGGATCAAGAAAAATTCTTATGATCTGGAGAGAAACAAACACTCGGCCTCTAGTGGGACTCAAACTTCAGTCTATGCTTCTGCTGTTGCAGGAGCCAACAACTGCTCCAATTCATCAACCCCTCATGCCAAACTTGATACTTTCTGGACTGTTTGCACATCTTGTAAAGTTCAGTATGAGTATCTGAGGAAGTATGTCAATAAGAGACTTTCATGTAAGAACTGTCGGGGTACTTTCATTGCTGTTGAAACTGGGTCAGCCCCAGTCAGTGGTTCTTTCCCCTATTCCCCTTGGTCGTATGTGCCAACTAATGGGTATGGAAGTCATGGGTATGATGGGGTCACTTATGTCCCAACCACTGCTACATATTTTGCTGGCAATGGTGTCTCAGGATATCATTCTGTGCATGGATATGACTATGTGTCAAATGCATCGTTTCAGTGGAGCTCCTTCTCAGGAACTTCTTCTGGGATTGCTGGTCATAATGGAATGACTGCCATGTCCACTACTGTTCATCATGTCAATGGAGAGAATGGAAGAACAGTATCAAAGGTGAAATCCAGTGCCAACATAAGACGTTCCACGCAAACAACTGTGGTTCATGTAACTCCAAATTTGGCCAGTGCTTGTAATGAATCTTCAGGATCTAAGGCTGGCAGAGCTGAGAAGAAAAGAAAAGTTGTTGTTGGATCCAGTTTTAGAAATGGTAACGAAGAAAGGGGATCAAAATATGGTGCAGAAGCAACATTGGCAAATGGAAATGTTGGCACAGAAATTGATTCTAAGTTTCCAAATGCCAGTGAATTTTCAAATAGACGTTGCTCAATGGCACCTGCATTTGATGCTAGAAAGTTGTTAATTGACAAGGCCAGGACTGAAATTCGAAAGAAATTGGAAGAGATGAAGTTGGCTTCAGAGGCAGCTGTGGCAATTAAAGCGCATGGTGGTAGTGGTCAAATCCAGGAGGATGGGAGGGCTACTAAAAGCACAGATATGGGTGCACCCATTCATCAGTTAGGACGAAACAAAAATGGGCCAATCACAATCACCGTCCCTGACCCGGACTTCCATGATTTTGACAAAGATAGATCAGAGGAGTGCTTCAAGCCAAAGCAAATATGGGCCTTGTATGATGAAGATGATGGTATGCCACGCTTGTACTGTTTGATTCGCCAGGTTGTCTCAGTTAAACCATTTAAGATTCACATTGCTTACTTGAACTCCAGAACTGATAGCGAGTTTGGGACAGTGAATTGGGTGGACTCTGGGTTTACTAAATCATGTGGACACTTCAGGGCCTGGAATTCCGATGTTATCGATCAAGTCAACATTTTCTCTCATCTATTAAGGGGTGAAAAGGCGGGCAGGGGAGGTTGTGTTCGGATATTTCCCAAAAGTGGAGATGTTTGGGCTCTTTATCGAAACTGGTCAACAGAGTGGAACAGATCAACTCCAGATGAAGTGAGGCACCAATATGAGATGGTAGAGGTTCTTGATGATTACTCAGAAGAGCTTGGTGTATGTGTTAGTCCCCTTGTCAAACTGTCTGGGTTCAAGACAGTGTATCAAAGGGATATGAACAAGGATGCCATTAGATGGATCCCAAGGAGAGAGATGCTACGCTTTTCGCACCAGGTTCCATCTTGGTTGCTTAAAGGAGAAGCTGGTAATTTGCCAGAACACTGTTGGGATCTAGACCCAGCTGCAACTCCAGATGAGCTTCTTCATTCTTCAACAGAATCTAAGGCTTAACATGACCTAGTCATGGAAAGCATTATTGGTTTGGAATTTTATTCACCATTCTTACAGAGGAAATTTAGAATTGACTGTACAAACATTTCACACTTGTTTTAGCTGCCAAGGAAACACTTAACTCCGGCTGATTTTAGCAGATGTAATATTAGTGTGAGACAATCTCTACCATCAAATTCCGAATCTATTGACTGTTATCACGAATGCTTTTCTTGGCCTAGTGACTGCAACGTCTATGATGGTCAATAGTCTCATGACAGATAGCACGCACATTTAATAACTAATGCCATGTGGTTTCTTTTCCATCATGCTTCTTTCAAAGAAACCACACCGTCCATGATCTATGGTTTGCCTTTTTGTTTCTATTCATTTCCTGTTTACAGGCTGCTAGAAGGGAGAGGTGATGAAGGTATCTTCACTCAAGATTTTTAGTCTTTTTTCAGAACATAAAATTTTGGATTATTAAACATTAAGAAAGCCATCTTCTTTAAAAATTACTTCTCTCCCGTCCCAATTAGTAGATGTATATGAACGAAATTTCTTAGAACAGATGCATGATGAAGTGGTGCAATCCCAATCTCAACTATCTACCTATTTACGATGCTCAATTGCTCACCAATCCCGTTGAGTTCCGGAGTACAAGGAGAAATTCTATGGTTTTGAAGATACACTAGTAATTTGGGGGGTTGGGGGACCAACACTAATATGTATTATGAATCATTGAAATAAAAAAAAAAAAATCTAAAAATAACGACTAAAGAGATTTATAAAAAATCCTTATAACCATCAATAGAAGTTACAAGAGTGGGTTCTTAATCATTTGAATAAATAACGTTGAGTGGAGGTAATCG